GCTTTAGTAGAACAGCAGCCACAAGGAATGATGTTTTGTGGTTTAAATCTCCAGTTCTGTAACCTATGGTGGCTTTGGTATCTGAACGAAATCCTGCCGAAACCTCACACATCCAGGAGTTTGCCAGGTCTGAGTGGCTGGATTGAAACAGCACCCTTTGCTCCTTTAATTATTGCGGCCTTAAGAGAAAGACTCTTAAGCAGCAATTGATAAAATGTCTATGTGCACATATGATAGCAAAATATTTGTCTGGATTTCTTGCAAAAGAGGAAAAAATAAAAGCTCTAATGGCAATATTTTTGTTGTAGGGGATTTATTGTTTCTGTAGCCAGACTTCTGTTTTCCATGGATAAATGTAGCAGGCTGTTTATGTCTGAGCATTAAGCATTCTTCAGCGCTACCCAGAGCATTAGCTGCTCCTTTTAACATATCATATTTGGTATCACACTAATGATTGGTATGGTTTTGGGGAATTATTATTCACTGCAGCCTGTCAGGTTTTCCTGTTATCCTACCTATTGGGAATGTGTTAGAGCCTGCCTACAACTGCAGAAATATCACTTTCTTAAGCTGTTATTTGATGATACAATAACTCTAATTGTAGTGTAACTCCAGTATACATTATCAAATGATGATTGAGAGATACACAGTAATAATCTGATCTATAAACTTTCTCTGCCAGTTCAGGTTTGTCTAAAAAAACCCCCTAAACACCCAAAAAACCTATTAGGCCAGGAGCCATATCGGGTGGCATCTGTTCTCCAGCATTTGGCATGAAACTGGACAAGGAGTACAAAGCTAGCACAAACATGTGGAGTGGAATAATGATTTGTCAGAAACACAGTTGGGTTTGCACTGTTGGGCACTGATCAGCCTGCAGATCTGGTGTTGGTGAGAGTGGAATTCAATCTCCTTCTTAATGGATTTTAGTTGTAAATTTTACCCCAGGTATGAAGTGTGTGAATGGTCCTCAAGGGACAGAGGTGCTGGGGTGCGACCTGCTCTGTCTGCCTTGGGGCAGGCACAGAAACACACACTTCTGCCAGGCTGGAAGCAAAGCCACAGTTGGTGTTGTCTCTGAGGTAAGAAACCAGGTTTCCCTTGAAAAAGGTAGCTTCCAAATGAATTTTTGTGTGATTCCTGGCATGGAATGAGTGGGTCAGTCTGTCTAAAGCACAGGCATGTGTCTTCTCTGCTCCTGACCTGTTGGTGACTAAATCTCGAGGCCAGCATCTCTATGGATAGTTGACTTTTATGGCTGATGTGTGTTCTGCCTGATAAATTTTGGGACTTTAGGGACTTTCTGTAGCAGCATTAAAAATGACCTGGGATTACCTGGCTGTTGTGCTGATTGTAACCGAGCAGTGGTGTTACAAACCACAGGCCCATCCTCTGGGAAGGGAAATAAAACCTGGGAAGAGGCCTGCTGCAATGGACTTTCTTTTGAGCAGGGAATATTGATCCTGGTGTGGTCCTGTGAGCAATTTGGGCATCGATCATAAGCTCTCATGCCCATCCTTTTTTTACCTGTCATGGGGTATTTTATTTATTTAATCCTCATTTTACCAATGAGGAGTTCCCTTCACATGCACTGTACCTGCTCCAGGGCGCAAAACAAAAGTAGAAGCAAATGGGAGAGATTTCCTTTAAAAGCATAATTGGATCTAAAACAGCAATGTGTATGCTTCATACTTTGCCAAGTAATTCCACAGAATGTTTTGAGGAAGACCTTTGAATGTTTCTAAGGGCAAGGAAAAAAAAGGGCCCTGAGAATCTCATCACATTTTTAGAATGTGTTTGGGACGTAAAGCTGCAAATATTTCAAGATATTTTTAATGGTCCCTATGTAAATTAGGCTACATATCTATGCCTAATTCTGCTAGGAATTGCATGTTAACTTCTACTTATCTTTGTCTCATTTTTATGTGTCTTTTTGGTGATTTAATTTCTGCATATAAAATGAAGAGCAATACTAATATCTATTAAGGTGCCCAAAATAAGTAGTTGATTGCTTGTGGAAACAGTGAATTTGGGTGGAATTAGCCAGCATTGATGAAGTAATTTTTTTAGGATGTGGGGTACATGTGTACATGCATGGGTCTGTTGTCACAAACACTTTGAGGGTTGGCAGCGTAAGCCTGGTGTTAATTCAGAGTGTGTCAAAAGGAAATAATTATTGTATCCTTTTCTACTGTCTTTTCTCTTTAACGTGACATTTTGCTTTGGGTTGGAAGGAAGGTGGTTTGGTGTTGCTTGTTGTTCTCATATTTTTTGTGTCACTTGGCTGTGGGACACTTGTCCCCAGGCTCTGCCCGAGCCACAGGGCCCAGGATGGGGGAAACACAGAAAACACCTTCCAGAAAATGTAAATGAGCACTGAAAACATGCACAAAGCAGTATTTTGGTAAAATGCAGGAATCTTTTGCACCCTTTCCAGTTCCAAGCCCTTCATCAGGCAAACTGTGTGTTTCTGGAGCTGTTTCTGTGTTTTTCTGGTGGCCAGGGTGCCACAGCCAGTGCTGCAGTGCCACCTCCTGATAGCCGGGCAGGACCAAAGCTTCTTGCTCAAAACACTCAAACCAGCCTGGAAGAAATGAGGCTCCTTTGATTGGGCCAGGGTGAAGAACACTTTAGACAAGACAAGCAAAACATTAGGTTTTTTTAAATTTCCTTCAGCTACCCAGCTACATAACAGCTGAATTGATGTGGCATCTCCACGGTTCTGCTTTGAGGGGGGAGCCCTCTCTGTATAAATAATTCAGCACCTCTCTGTGTGACAAACAGCACTTTCATCAGATTTCTGTGGTTTGATCTATTGTTTTTGGTGATGCAGCAAGATTTTGAAAATCTGTGACATACCCATGAAACAAATACTGCCATTTGTGTGTGTGTGTATGTACGTAATGTTAAAAAAAACCCCTTCTTTATGAGTCTCTTTAAACTTAATTACCTTCTCCTCTGAAGGAAAATATTGTTCCTCTTCCTACAGCATTTTTCTGTAAAAACAGTCTTAAAGAAAGATAATTTGCTCCACGTATGGCAACAAAACCTAGCTGAATAAAATTTATGTTTGGTCCTGCACATGGTGGAATTGGTTGCTAATGCATGAAATGGCTAAAAATGCCATTCATTTTATATTCTGTTCAGTAGACAAGTCCTCAAAGTATGTGTTGGAGTTTGGCAGGGATGTCTTGTACCCCAGGTGTGGCTGGGGCTGTGGAGGTGTGGGGATAAGGTTGGTATCAATGTGCCTTCCTTTACCAGCCGTGTTGCACTTACTGGAAGTCATTGTCATGGGGCAGCTTTCTCTTTTAGAAATGAGAAAGGTTTAAGTAGAACTGCAATTTTATTTTTTTCCTTAAGAAACTAAAGCCACCTCCCCAACAGCATGGCTGTGAGTCGGGTGACCACATACCTGGGGCAGGTTTAGGGGTGTCCAGATGTGGTTTCAGGCAAATAAACTCTTCATACCCAAGTTCATCCTTTAGCCTCTCTTCTTGAGGGGTTTAATTGGATCATGTTAGTACAGCATGATGGGACTTGTGGGAAAGTCACATCCTGGAGGGCTTTTCCCACTGTCCAATTTAGCTGCAGTTGAATAGTAAAACTTGAAGTTAGGTTATCAGAAAAACAGTGTGGTTATTTTCTCCTGTTGCCTTGGGAATTCTTGCTAGGAAAAGATGCCCAGGGAGAATACACATGGCAGCTTTATAATGCCAATCATGACCTTGTAGTTGTTACTTTCGATTGTGTTCACCACTTTCCCACTTGGAGCAGCAGTGGCAAGTGGCCTCCCCATGCAGCCACATAGCAAGAACTTTTTATTTTGAACAGTGTAGGAAAACCCATTTTCTAGTACCTTTTTACATGAGAACCCAAGTCGATCTTTGTCAAATACCAGTAGGAAAGTCACTTGCTTTCTCAGACTCCAGTTCCATAGGAGAAACAATGGTGGTGGTCAGCTGGGTAAAAACCTGGGAAGGTTTGCTGATGAAAAGTGCTGGACAGATAATAGGAACAGAAGGTGGACATTATTTCATAACATGTTCTTGAAGCTGATGTTTTCACATGTTTACTTGGAAAGGTCAAAGTTTTCAAACATTCAGACAGCATGAGGATGTTCTCAAAAATGAGACTTAGAAAAAGTACTGTATTCTGTCTCTTCATGTTTTTAAGACTGTTGTTGCCTCATATTTTCCAAGTTTATATTCAAAAGCATATACAGTCTGATACATTATTTTTCTTGCTAAATATTTGCTTATTACTAAAATTACGGAAAAATTGTACATGTATAAATATATATATATATATATATATATCTCCCATCAATGTTTTCAAAGCACTGACTGAAAGCCTATAGAAATGTTACGAAAAATGGACTGTTTAAAGTTTGTTTCTAATGTGAAGAATTCCTTTTGAAAAGTCAAAAGATATGGCTGAGATGTTTTCTGGTCTTTAGTGGGATTAGCTGGGCTTGCATTGAACAGACACTATGTTCTGTATCTCATACTGTTCTGTACTTTTTCACTAGGGCAGGAGTACCTGAAAATTGGAGTAGATTAGAATGTAAAAGTGAGAACCTGCCTGGATGCCAATGTGAAACCAAGTTTTTGGTCTTTGTTAACCAGGCAGAAAGAAACCTATGTTATAAAAAATGTGTTCCATAGCAGTAATGTAGATTGGATGAAACTCACTTGATTATTTTTTAAAACCTGTGAAATAAGGCCTTCTTTAATACTGGTATTAAACAGCAGAGTTTCCCAGTCCATACCAACTTGCCTCATATGAGAATCCGGCCCTTTAATATTTAATTTACTGATCTTTATTTTGTGGTGAGACAAATGACTTTTTAATGATTCCAGAAGACTTATTTGCATTATAAAATAAAGCCATTGTCTATGCTTCCAGGGAACTACTTACTTTTTAAATATAACATTTGTTGGGAAATACCTATTAGCTATTAAAAATATTTAATTTACCTGCTTTTTTTTTATTTGCAGGGTTGTGTCCTTTGTTGTGACCTCATGGTTTAACTGGGAATAAAGATGAGTATAAGCAGTGATGAGGTTAACTTCCTGGTATATAGATACTTGCAAGAGTCAGGTGAGTTTTTATAATTCTGGTTATTAAACAATGCATAATTTATTTGCTCTTCATCTGCAACTGGCTTTAGCAAACACAGGCTCATTTAATTATTTTGCCAGTAGGCATGTGCTTCTATCTGAACTGTTTCTTGGTGTTTCTTCTCAACAAGAGAATGAATTCCTGCCAAGTTACCTTCTGTAACTTAATCAGATTTAGTCATTTGGAGTCTTCAGATGGCAGTCAACCAGCCAAGGACTCACTCAATTGCTAAAATGCATTTTCCTGGAGATCACTTCTCTGCAGGGTGATGATGGCACTTTGCACCATTTTCTTCAGGGCTGCTTGAAGAAGAAAATAGAATGATCAGCAAAATGCTGTTTTCTTCTGTTGTCTTGGAGTGATGGTGCTCCTGCCAGCCGGTCTTGTGCAGCCAAATTCCTTGCCTGAGCGTGACTGTGGGAGGGCAGATGTGGCTGTGTTTCAAAGGAAGATGTGACAACTGTGACTATGACTTGTATCACTTGATTCTAAATAGAGATGAACAGATTTTTTACAGGAATAACTCTTTGGGTTCTCAAAAGGGACCTTTTTTTGGAGGATCTTGTCCTTCTGCATAGCCAGAATATCCTGCTTCTTAGGACAAAGAGCAAAAGACACTTGAATATTGCCAGACTTGAAAAGAAACCTTTTTCCTGACATATCCCTCCACGCTGACTGTGTCTGCACAGCATAAGAATGCAGCAGTGCTCCCTTATTTTTAAAGCTTCCCCACCCCAGTCGGATCAGCAGTTTGTGTTGCATGTTTGGGTTTCTAGATGCAGCCATATGGCTGCAGGGAGTTTTGTGGTGGTGGTTATTCGTGAAGCTCTCTAAAAGACAACATCATCTTTTACTCACAACTGTGATATTGATTGCTTAACACAGCCTACATTTAGAATGGGAAGATTTCACTGGAAGTCAGGCCATGCCCCAGTAAATGAACAAGTGATGATTGTCAGCTGGCAGGAGGGAATATGATCTCAGCAATACATAAAAGAAGTCTGCATATTAAAGCAAAAATAAACTTCAGTCTTAAGACAACAGTGTAAGAGATCAGCTTTAATATATATATGTGTAGATATATAAGAAAATATACACATATATTTCATATTTTGCCTTGCTGTTTGAATGTTTATTGATTTGTAGTTTTTGTTTAGCAATTGCTGATGGGCGGCTTCAGGCTTACTGAAAATGCATTTGACTGGTGCAACATATGTCCACTGCTCATGGACTTCCCAAATTGAAGAACCATAGGCAATGGTGGATGGCAGACTGTTACAGTTTCTGCTTGTCAAAAAAAAAGCAAAACCTCATTTTTCTGCGTGAATTTACTGAAAACACCTACACGTTCTTATTCCAGTTGCAGATTGCTTTTGTCATAGAAGCCAAACTTTAAAAATTGCTTCATCTTCATTTTAAAGTTTGCAGGCAGCTTCTTGCTTACCTGACAGGGGAAAAGAAAAAAAAATAAATAGAGGTTTAAGAAAAAACGCTACGACAATAAAGTTAATTTCCTGAAACAACTATTTTTCTTTAGCTTAAATTCAATTTTTCAGGGTGATCAAATAAATAGCAAGCAGCTGCCATTGCTGCACCATAACATGTTTGCCACTTCTTAATCAGTGCACAGTGCTGATGTAGTTCTAAATGCCAGAGCATACAAAATTATGGCAGCACTGTTCCATGAGCTGAGTTCTGTTCACATACAGATCCATTTCACTTTCATGGGTATCAAATCAGGGAGTGAAAATAGCAGTCTTGTGTCTTGGATATATTTTTTTTAATTAAATGCTGCATAAGGTACAATATTTACATGTAGTTTGTGAAAATATAAACACATTTAAATGCTGTGGTGAATTATTTATTTTATATTGACTTGTGCACAAATGTTTTGCCATTGATGCTGTAATAATTGCTGTGTTTATATATGAATTTAGCTTTTCTCTTTTTGTACACTTAGACTATGAGGGAATTGAGGTGTTTTGACAAGTTTTTGGTAGTTCAGAAGCATGCTGTAGCATTACACTTTGTATAATTTCCTCAGGTTTTAAACAGAAGGTCCTACCGTGGTACAGCAAGTAGCGTTGTCTATCTGTAAATCAATTCTGATGTCTTTGCCTTGTCTTTAGGGTTTTCCCATTCAGCATTTACCTTTGGTATAGAGAGCCATATCAGCCAGTCTAATATAAATGGTGCTCTGGTGCCACCAGCTGCTTTGATTTCCATCATCCAGAAAGGTCTGCAGTATGTAGAGGCAGAAGTCAGTATTAATGAGGTAAGGAGGCTTTGCCTGCAGGAGCATTGTGTCCTTGCTTGCAGTAAGTTTGAATGTTAGTATTTTTCCTTAACTTTCTTGTATCCTATTTATTTACTTTTACTTCAGATTCCTTACTGCTGGTGTTCACCATGACTCCAGTGGTGGAACCAGAGTGGAGTGACATAACTGGGTGGGGGTTCTGCCCAGTGCAGCCACACAACACCAAGGCATGGTGTTCTGGCTCATTGCTTCAAGGTCCGTTATCTGTAGAGTTTTTACCCTACTCTAATGTTGTAGCGCATCCAGACAAGTGTGATAGGATAATAATTGAGACCAGTAATCTCTTCATTTTTTGTTTTTGTAGACTGGGACTAGGGAGATGGGAGAGCACTGTGCAGCTCTTGTTTGGGCTCTGGTGTCATGACAGTGAAATGATGTCAGCCCAAAGGCAAGGTTTCCAAGGAGAGAGAGGGTTTGAATTTGTGGCAGGAAGGCTGAAGGTATATGCCAGTTTGCCTTTTGCCTCTGCTGGCTAATTCATCTTGAGCAAGATCTGTTAAATTTGATGTTTAAATGGTTATTTCAGCAGTACAGAAAGCTATGTATCTTCCTGCCTGATGGTGCAGACACTCTCCCTCAATTTCCATTCTCATTTGTGCCTGGAAGGTGAGAAGCCGTTCTGTGTGTCAGTTAGATTACAGAAGGAAACTTTTTTTCCCATTAATTCTGCTCACTTTCCAGTCTCCCGTATGTCTGCTGTTTGTGTGGTTTTCACAGTCCTAGTGAAGCAAATCCTTTCCCTTAGGAAGCCTCAGAAAAATAAAGCAAATGATAGGAATAGAAGACCCTATATTTACTGCAAGGAATCCTTCTAGTCCCTAAAAATAGATCCTTACAAAGCCCTAGCATATGTATAAGGGTATTTTTAACTGGGTCTTGTCCATTTCAGGATAAAATTCTTCCTTCTTGTTTGAAAGCATGCCAGCACTGTTTGAAAAAAGGAAGAAAACTAGTCAACTCCCCAGATAATATGTTTATGGAAAGTATTAGTCTAATAAGACTATAACTTCACAAGTCAGTGACCCGAGCTGCAATGTTTGCAGCTCTCTCTTCAAACAAACCATTAGATTTTGCTGCAGCCACTCATGTTTGAAATCATATTCATAGATAGCTTACAGAATTTTTTGCTTTAGCAGACAATTCAGCAAACTCAAAACAAGTTGCTTTTGATTCCACAGGCTCTCCCAGAGGCCTGCAGTGGCTTTTTTTTGCATATTTATGGTGGCCACTTAACTTTAGACTAAAATTCTAACCACTAAAAGTCCTAACCACAACAATGATGAGAGAGATCACTTCCAGCACCATATGTAAACTGCTTTATTATATTAAATGAAAACATTTTCTTTAGTTTTGCTTGGAATCTTTGCCCATAATGTTAATTTGTACTTGGTGTTATCTTTTTTTTTTTTTTCTTTTTTTTCCCTTTTCTCCCTGTGCTGTAATTTAGGATGGTACCTTGTTTGATGGTAGGCCGATAGAGTCTCTCTCACTGATAGATGCAGTGATGCCTGATGTGGTACAGACAAGACAACAGGCCTACAGAGACAAACTTGCACAACAGCAGGCAGCAGCTGCTGCAGCTGCAGCCGCCACCAACCAACAGGGATCAGCGAAAAATGGAGAAAATACTGCAAATGGAGAGGAGAATGGAGCACACACTATAGCAAGTAAGTCAAGATATAAATGGCTTTAAGCTGGGTTAGCAGTTTCTAGTTGTTTAACATAGGATGAGCTTGTAGACAATGAGGTAAAAATGTAGAGTTTGGAGTGACCCTTCAGCTTGCAGAGAATTCCTTCATCGTGGCTGATACTTGAACAGATCGTGAATCACCTTTGGCTGTCCCCAGTTTTCATATCTGGGTTTGCAGAAGTCAAAGTTGTGAATTCATTAATTCACAATATTTCCTTGAGTGGTCTCACTTCCATTAATTACTGCTTCTTTTCCACCACCTGAAGGTTTTTCACAGGGCCCTTGCATAAAAAGGAAAAAAAAATTGACACATTCCTGTACAAGGAATGAGGAGAGGAGTCTGTCTGCCAGTCCATGGCTGGTTAAAACTGATTACTGCTTGTGAAGCTCTGCAAACTCCTTCCAAAAGGTTCTGTAAATCCCACGGATCCAAGAGCTGTACCTGGCTCTTCTAGTGCTGTTGAGGTCAGGGTTACTGGGACAAGCTCTGTGTCTCTTGTCTCTTTTACCAGTATCAGTTTTCACTATTTGCTATTCAAATTTGCTCAATGCAACTGCTCTCAGGTTTCCTTTATTCATGAATTCCATTTTAGTTGTGATTGGTGAAATAAATGAGTTCTGTTTATCATCACTGGTCAAAGAAACATGCTGTACAATGAGGTTTAATATGGAAGAGTTTGGGTCAGGCATTAAACTGTGATTCTGAAAATACTCTTCTGGAAGTCTGAATTGCATGTTTAAGTGTGGGACTTACAGTTCTTCCTGTAAGAAATGACATTTTTAAGAGAATATTGAGCCATGTACAAGTTTTTCAGCCTGATTTCACTAGGGTTTTTGATTGGTATACGTGATAAAAAGCTAGAAATAAATTCTTTGGCTGAAAGAAATGATCTCTACTTTGATGCTTTCATTTGAAAATCTCAAAGGGGTATTTACTTGATAACTGTGAACTGGATAGAGGGAGGGTAGAGCTCGGATCTCAGCCCTGTTAAATGTGATCTACCAGCAACCCCTGCTGGCTGTACAGTGCTTCAGACTGGCATCGATCCTCTGAAGCAATGCTTTATATGGTGCTCCTTCTGAAAAAATACTCACGTTTTAATAGTCTTTTCTATTTTCTCACAAACAGTGACAGAAACCCTTGATGCTAAATTAAGCAATAGCTGTGAAATTATTTCTTTAACTGCAGTGAATAAATATGGAACAGGTGAACTGTGCAGCACTTCTTACATTCTGCATTTGCAGTCATTGTGAATTTATTTTTAATAATAGAAAATGGTTGATGGTAGATGCCAAGAAAACTGTTTTGTCACTTGAATTACCCCCAGACTGTTCTACAGAACAATATGGTTTCAACCTCACTTCCACGCAGAAAGTTACACTGACATAATTCCATGGTAATTGCTGATGAAGTTTGAGAAGCTTGGTTATGTTTGCTCTGTCACCAAATGTGATTATATTTATTAAAGTCATTTTGTAAATGGAGTGTTGGAGATGTAGGTTTAAAACCTGCTTGACTGCAGTTGGTGAAAAGAGGGATTTTTGAAAATGAATGTGTTATAAATGCATTCTTACAGCACAAGCTAGACTAGTAACATATTGTGCTATGCAGTGTTGGGCCTGAAAAACAGAGTACTTGTAACAGCATTTATTTTTTAGCATAGCAAAAAATTAACTTTTGGCCCTATTTCTGAAGCTCCTAAATTAAATCCATTTGGATGTGAAGGTTTACAGGGGCGAAGAGCTTTCTCACATTTTTGAAACTCCCCATCTGTTTATAGCTTCATTAATTGGAACTGAAAAAATAAGAGCGTGACAGCTCTATCAAATTTTTGAATCGCATAAATTGTGAATTCTTGCACTCATCACAGAAGAATCTGAACCATACAGGAGTCACAATGTCCCAAAATACTAATATCCACCTCTCTGTGCTGTTGTTTCCCATAATACAGATAATCACACAGATATGATGGAAGTAGATGGAGATGTGGAAATCCCTCCCAACAAGGCAGTGGTGCTGCGTGGCCACGAATCCGAAGTGTTCATCTGTGCCTGGAATCCCGTTAGTGACCTTTTGGCCTCAGGGTACGTGCACTGCCCACGTGTGTGTGTGTCTGTGTGTGTGTGTGTGTGTGTGTGTGTGTGTGT